TGGATGTCAGCATGGACTGAGGCGGTAAGCTGGAGTCACGCTTGTGCCCGCCATCTTGACGGAAAAAAAAAAACTGGCAGTTTAAAACAGCCGCGGTTTTACAGATAAGACACGTGGCCAGAAAAACATAAAGATTTACAGTAAAGTCAGACTTAAATAAAGAAAAACCGCTAAAGGTTTACAGTGTGTTTAAAAATATACGTGAGATTGAGAGAGAAAATGAAACGACAAAGTGGTATATAAATACAGAAGCCGGCTGTGGTGGCGCACGCCAGTAGGAATTGCTCCAGAGGCAGAGGCAGGCAGATTTCCAAAGAGAAACCCTGTCTCAGAGAAAAATAAATAAAAGTGAAAGAAATTGAGTAATAATAATAATAGATTAATAAATAAGCCACGTAAAGATGGAAAATACACAGAGAGTCTGGATACTGTACGCTATTATGTTTTTCAGTTTTTTGATTACTCAGGAAGGAACTGCTAAAGTACACTTGATTATAAATGCTGCTAAATTAATCCAACTTATATCTTTTAAAAATGCCTTGACTTCAAAATTTAAGTATAAGGATATGTTACTTGGGAAAGGAGATTTTGCTTATGTTTCCACAGAAAATGAAAAGCTGAGGATTCCTTCCAGACTTCTGTGGTTTGATGAACCAAGACCCCCGGAAGCAATGGACCAGATGTTCCAACAATTGAGACAGCTAAGATGATTCAGCTTTATACACCCTGAAAATACGGACTTATACAGGTTTCTGAATTTTGTCATGATCCCCATGGTATGAACAGAGCCCCCTTCCAGCATGAAGCAGTTTGGAATGAGCAACGTCCCAATTCCCATCTTGTTTATAAATCTTTGTTTTCACTTAAATGGGATTGTTTATAATTGGTTAATGATCACAACCAATCTCCTTTTAATGGTAAAAAGGGGAATTATGGTATGGGTATTGTTTTTCATTTATTGATACAAATTCAAGGTCAATTTTGTGATATGTATATTTCTCCTCCTGATTAAGTATTGCGCTTATACTGATCTTTTAAAATGTAATGCATAATTAAATACAGATTATAGATAGTTACTTATAATAGTCAGAATTTATAGTTAGGTTAGTTAGGTTTTCTAGATATACAGAAATATATTTGAGATAGATAAACAGTCTTCAAACCTCTCAAAGACCTTCAGAAAATGGCATTTAAAATGGTTTAGGGTTTTTCTTGACAATGAGAAATGTCTGCTCCTGGCAGCACCAATATGTCTGAGAGGAAGATGGGCATCGAAGAAACTTGTTATGGAGTTTGCTTTCAACATGGCAAGATTAGCCATTTGGGCAAGAAACTGCTCTTGCCTAGACGGACTGTTGCTGTATAAACTGGACATGCAGGACCCACAGGAAAGTGACTACTGAACTCAGTCTTACAGGGTTCCTGCTTCATGAAGAGTCTAAGAGACTTTCTGCAGGACAAAGAAAAATGACTGACAGACTGCCAGCACAGGTGGACAGTTTGAAATTTCCTGCTTTGCTGAGAAATCTTCTGGACACATTATGGCCTATGGGCTGAAGATGGATGCCCCAACGTTACCGAGGAACTTCGGGTGACTGTCCAGGCAGTAAGATGTCTCTGTCAATCCTAGTGTTTATATATTATCCTTCTGTGGTCTTTGATGGAGTTGAAGACAGATAGTTATAATTATAGTTTTCCTTAGTTATGATAAAAGATGAGCTACATATAGAACTTTGGACTCACAAGGATGGGATGAATGATATTTTCTTTAAATCTTGCTAAATGTTGACAAAATATTGTAACTGTGTTCTTACTTGATAACTGTTCTGTCATATACAATTTGACTATGTTAAAGTTAAGACTTTCTTTTTGTTTAAACAGAAAAGAGGAGATGTTGGGGAAGTCCTGTGTATATGTTAATAAATTACTGCTGGCCAATAGGAATCTAGATAGGTGGGGCTAGGAGTCCAGGAGGATTCTGGGAAGGAGAAACACAAGGGAGTTCGAGATGTAACGCCATCGGGTAGGAGGCCCGGAATTTTCTCCGGTAAGAAACATACTTAGATTAACAATTATGGGGTAATTACTTAAGTCAGAGCTAGCCAGTAAGAAACAAATAAGGCCAACAGCTTCATAATTAATACAGCGTCTTGTGTGTTTATTTGGGGATTACAAAGCAGTAGAGCCCAGGTAACAGGCGGGAGATAAACCAAAGCAGTTAACAAAGAAAAAGCTTCACTTAACAAGGTTTCTCTGCGGCTTTGGAGACTGTCCTGGAACTAGCTCTTGTAGACCAGGCCAGTCTCGAAGTCACAGAGATCCACCTGCCTCTGCCTCCCGAGTGCTGGGATTAAAGGTGTGTGCCACCAATGCCCGGCAGCCAGTATTTTATTGAGTATTTTTGCATCACTGTTCATGAGGTATATTGGTCTGAAGTTCTCTTTCTTAGTTGTGTCTTTGTGTGGCTTGGGGATCAAGGTTATTGAGGCCTCATAGAAAGAGTTTGGCAAAGACCCTTCTGCTTCTATTGTGTGGAATACTTTGAAAAGAATTGGTATAAGCTGTTCTTTGAATTTCTGGTAGAATTCTGCGCTGAGGACATCTGGACCTGGACTTCTTTTGGTTGGGAGACTTTTGATGACTGCTTCTATTTCCATAGGGGTCATTGGTCTATTTAAATTGCTTATCTGTTCTTGATTTAGTTTTGGCAAGTGTTAGCTATCAAGGAAGTCATCCATTTCCTTTAAATTTTCAAATTTTGTGGAGTACAGGTTTTCAAAGTATGAACTGATGATTCTCTGGATTTCCTCAGAGTCCGTTGTTATGTCCCACTTTTCATTTTTGATTTTGTTAATTTGCATGTTCACTCTCTGCTGTTTGGTAAGTTTGGGCAAAGGTTTGTCTATCTTGTTGATTTTCTCAAAGAACCAACTCTTCGTTGCATTGATTCTTTGTATTGTTTTCCTGGTTTCTACTTTATTGATTTCAGCCCTCAATTTGATTATTTCCTGGCATCTACTCCTCCTGGGGGAGTTTGCTTCTTTGTGTTCTAGAGCTTTCAGCTGTGCTGTTAATTCTCTAGTATAACTGTTCTCCAGTTTCTTCATGTGGGCACTTAGTGCTATGAACTTCCCCTGTAGCACTGCTTTCAAAGTGTCCCATAGGTTTGGGTATGTTGTGTCTTCATTCTCCTTGAATTCGAGGAAGTCTTTAATTTCTTTTTTTTATTTCTTCTTTGACCCAGGAATGGTGCAGTTGAGCATTATTCAACTTACATGAGTTTGTAGGTTTTCTGCAATTTGTGTTGTTGTTGAATTCTAATTTTATAGCATGGTGGTCTGATAAGTTGCATGGAGTTATTCCAATTTTTTTGTAGCTGCTGAGGTTTGATATGTTGCCAAGTATGTGGTCGATTTTTGAGACGGTTCCATGTGGTGGTGAGAAGAAGATATATTCTTTTTTATGTGGATGAAATGTTCTATAGATGTCTGTTAATCCCAGTTGGGTCATTACTTCTATTAGACCCTTTGCTTCTTTGTTGAGTTTCTGTCTGGTATTCATGTCTAGTGGTGAGAGTGGTGTGTTGAAATCTCCCACTATAACTGTGTGGAGCTTTAGATGTGATTTAAGTTCTAATAATGTTTCTTTTACAAATGTGGATGCCTTTGTATTTGGGGCATAGATGTTCAGGATAAACACTTCATCTTGGTGGATTTCACCTGTGATGAGTATGTAATGACCTCCTTCATTTCTTTTGATTGATTTTAAAGTCTAGTTTGTTAGATATTAGGATTGCTATCCCTGCTAGTTTGTTGGGTCCATTTGATTGAAAAATTTGTTCCCAACCTTTAACTCTCAGGTAATGTCTGTCTTTGAGGGTGAGGTGTGTTTCTTGTATGCAGCAAAAGGAAGGGTTCTGTCTTGGAATCCATTCTGCTAGCCTGTGTCTTTTTATGGGTGAGTTAATGCCATTAATGTTGAGGGATATTAATGACCATTGATTGTTCATCCTTCTTCAATTTGCAGTGGTTGGTGGTGGTATGTGTGGAATTTCATCCCTTTGTTCTTTTGGCTGTTGGTAGAGAGAGATTCTCTAATGCCTATGTTTTTCTGGTTGTAGTTAGCTTCCTTGGGTTGGAGTTTTCCTGATATTGAACATTTTTTTAAAAAGTGTTTCATCTTTTGGAAAATGCCTGTTTAATTCTTTGCCCCAATTTTTTAAATTGGACTGTTATTTTCTTGATTAGGTTTTGAGTTATGTTTATGTTCTAAGTACTAACCTTACTTTGACTTTTGCCACTATTCTATAGTCTTCTTATTTATTTGAATGATGGTATCCTTTGTCATAGAGAAACTTTATTTTCCCGAGGTCTTATTAATTCTTGGTCTTGATTCCTGTGTATTGGAGTCCTGTTCAGAATGTCCTTTCCTGAGCCAATAATTTCAAGCATATTCTTGACTTTCCCCTTTGTCAGAAGCAGACTATGGTGCCTTAGGTTAAGGTCTTTGATCCATTCTATTTGATTTTTGTACAAGGTAAAAGATGATCAGGTTTCATACTTCTAAATTTGGGTATCCTGTTTGATCCGCACCATTTGTTGAAGATGTTGTATTGGGTTTAGGCAGTAAATTAGTGTATAGAAAATAAGAGAGGTAATATTAGACTTGCAACACTTGAGTTTGTGACATAAAATAGCAGTCATATAAAAATCAGTTAACAACAACAGGGAAAAGAAGGCGATATGGAAACCCAGTGCAAGTGTCACCTTACCCCAACTAATGCTAAGAATTTGAAGCTTGATTCTAGAAAAGTTACATTTGAGAAATCTTCCAAACTAAAAAGTCAATATGGTTAAAGTCCTCAGAGGTGATATATTTTCAAGGTTTGGGCAATTGATATGGTTGAGTTTGCAAGTATTAATACAACCTTATAAAATAATGTTATTGTGACATTCTTAGGGGCCACTACTCTAGAGAATGGAGCCGATAAATGAGGCAGGTTAAATTCTCACGCAGTAGGCAACTTTATTCTGAGCATCAGACAATTTATACTATAAGAATTAAGAAGAGTTACATGAGTAAAGTGTACAATCACCAAGGCAAGCCCCACAAGGTGGGCAAGCCACACATAGTAAATATATGTTTTCCAGAGAGGCATATATAAACAAATAACAAATTTGTTATGATTAATATGAAGTAAGCTCAATCCTATCCACTGCACCTAGGAGGAACACAAAAGTACAATCCAAGAATAATTGCTTATTTGAAGAAACTTAGGTCACAAGTCTCTTGCCTTCATCTTTTGGAGTTTTCTCACAAGCACTCAGCAATATCCTCACATGGCTTCATTCTTGGACGTTGTTCCGACAATAAGCTTGTTAGTCAGAATAAAGGCATGTAAATGGAGGTTTAAGAAAGCTGACGTGCAGATCCAGGTTTTCAGGCTTACTCTAGTAGAGAAATAAAATTAATTTTTTATCTCACTTTATATATGTTATCCACTGAATAAGCTAAAATGAACCTCCACTTAAAAACCTCAGCTTGCTTGGCTGCCTCCCAGTCTTTGCCTTTAAAATGAACTTAAATGACCATTCAAAGGTATTATCAGCCCTTGATAATTAAACAATAAACTTAACCTCTGGGAAATTCTCTGACAGCTTCTCGCTACATTAAAGGACAATTAGCATTTCACTCTGAAACTTGTATGAGTTAAAACCACAAAAGAATTGCCTCATGCTTTGGTACCATTAGCCCCACTGGCATCAGCTTTTCTCGGTTTGCATGGATGCACATTCGCACTTTCATCCCAAGTTCCCACTGCCATTGGTAAATTATAGTAGTTGTTGACTGAGGTAGAGTGTTCACCCCGTCTGATGAAGTTATTCTTTCCTCCATCTTGTCTTGGTGTGGTATGAAATGGGTCTGGGTCACACTCTCTTTCTGCCTGTGTTTTCTATGTTGTCTCTTATTTTTCAGGGTTTCCAAAGAAGGCACATGCCATGTTTTTGAATAAAAGTGTTACATTATTTTTTCCAAAGGGGGAAAGGGGAAACCACATATATGTATTCAACCTTTAAAAATCTGCTTCCTGCATTTTGACTTTGTACTCTGAAAACTTAGAAATATATACGGCTTCTTTTTCTTCCCAGATTTTGGAGGTCCCAGAATCCAGAGAATATATAGAAAATTGCACTAAAGAATAAAATAAAGGCTCACAAGAGGACTCCAGCAACACCTATGCTCTGTGCCATTCTGCTGGAGTAGAGAGATTCAACCACCCTAGGTCCAGTCTGCAAGAGGACTCCAGCAGCACCACAGCACCAACCAGGAGCCAACCCAGTGCCAGAGGCACTGGGCATTTAGGTACAATTATGGTCACTTTGTGATGAGGAAGCATGGTCTTGCCCAGTGCCATGACAGACTGAGCATGACCAAGAGACCTACATGAAGGTCTGGGGTGGTCTGCCACAAACTCCAAGGAGAAAGCATGGGCCCACCAGGTACCTTGCAGCACCTGACAGATGGACACTATTATCGTGAGCAAATGTGTGGGGTGGTATGGGAAAAAGAGATAGAGAGAATGCTTCATGTCCTGTGGACAGAGGAAGATCTGAAGAAGTGAAAGAGGTAAGGAGCTGGCTGGGGTGGGTGGCTTCATTGTCACCCACGGCCATGGTGATGTCTGGGCCTGGGCTATTCCCAGGGCCCATGTCTGGGTTTATGGCTCTAATGTAGCCACGGTCTCTGCTGATGTCTGTGACTCCTGATACTACCAATGACTGAGAAGACGGGGATGTACAGAGTAGACCCTGTCCCTCACTGGTTAAAACACTAGGGAGAACTGGTCCTACCCCTCACTGGCTGAAGCACTCAGGAGAGAGGGTCCTACATCTCACCTGGGCAGCACAATTGAGCCTAGCCTGTTCATGGGGGGCATAGGTGAGCTGGCCCTGAGAGCGTGAGAATGAGAGAGCAGATCACACCCTTCTCATATGCCATGTGGTAAGGGAAAGATGGCCTCCTCCCTGAGTCCCTCACCACCTACAGGTTAAGGAACCTGACCCAACCCCTCACCAGATGCAACTCTTGGGAGAACAGGCCCTGTGCCTCTCAAGGGCATCACAGTAGAGCTGACCCTGTTGATGCAGACACAGGCAAGTTGGGCCAGAGAATGTGAGAGATCTGGTTCACCTATGGCCATGTGGTGCTGCTGGCAGAGTAGGCATGCTCCTCTACCACCTCCACTTGCGGACCTGTGGCAGGTGGGAGATCCGGCGCCGAGGTCATAAGAGTGGGAGAAATGCCCCTGCACCTCAGCTGGTACAACACTGGGGAGAACAGTTTCTGTATGTCACCTGGAAAGCATAACAGAGTCACTCTTCTTGGCGGAGGTGTGGGTGAGCCAGCCTCAAAGTTGTGAGTGTGGGAGAGCTCTCCCCACTACTCATCTGCCATGTGGTATTGTGGGTGGGTGAAAATGCCCTCCTTACCCCTTGCTCCTCGAAGCTATGACAGATGAGGGAGCTGACCCTTCCCCTTACCAATTGTAGCACCCAGGAAAGCAGGCCTTGCTGCTCACCTTAGCAGCAAGCACATCAGAACTGAGCCTGTTGACGAAGGTGGGAGTGAGCTGACCCTGAGGGTGTGAGAGTGGGAAAGTTGGCCACAACCCCTTGTCTACCATGTGGTGGGGAGTACAAGGAAAGGATAGCCTCTTCCCCGTCCCTGCCACCTATGGTGGGTAAGGGAGTTGACCCTCCCCCTTACCACCTGCAGCATTAGGGAAAGTGGGCACTGCACCTCACTTGGGCAGCACAATAGAACTCGCCCTGATGGTCCAGATATGGGAGAACTGACCCTGAGGGCATGAAAACAGGAGAACTGGACCTGCCTCTCAAGGCTCCAAGGAGTGAATTAGCCTGGGCAATGCTGGAGAGCTCACCCTGGTGGTGAGGACAAGGGAGAGTTGGTGGGCTGACCAACCCTGCAACTACCCAGGCTCAGAAACAGTGTTATAAGTTGACCCACCCTATCTATGATCTACAGAAGCATGTGAAAGGTTGGTCCTGCAGACGCAAAGCTACAGGATTCCCGTTACACAGAGCAACAGTAGGATATCCAAGCAGAGTCCCAATCAGGGCCCAGCTTCAACAGTGTAGCAGAAATCAGAGACCTTGAACCAGACCAATGACTGCAATAAACACTTGCAAAAAAAGACATAAGGACAAAAAAAGAATAAAATAAACAATAGTTAACAAAAATTAATCAAAGCTGCATTGACAGCACCCCAATTCTCAAGAGATAGATTATGAATATGATGCTGGACAGAAGTGAGAAAGATCCAGCTCCAGTCTTAGTGGGGGAGTGAGCAGGGTTATGCTCAGATTCATTGTTACAGCAAAGTTTATTAGGATAGAGGCAGAGAATGGATTATTTACAGAAGTTTGAGTGCTTGTCCCACACAGACAGGAGCAGCATCTGATACAATGTGAGATTCTCAAAACTAGAAGTTGTACTATAATGCAGAGATGATTCATAAATTCAAAGACACCGGGCACTCATCAGGATACAGGAGATGTGCTGAGAACCATCTATTGGAACTGAAGCAGGAATTACTGCCTTCCTACTCTGTGCTGAAGCATGGATGTTTCATCAATGTCTCCTGAACACAGATCCCTCTGTGGGTAACCTAATGCTGCTTGCTAGTCTTGCCCCGAATCTAGTTGTGTATCGAGTGTGTTTAAACAGTATCTGCTTTGAGCATCATGAAGTGTCACAAACAGCTGAAGTCATTTTCCATCTTTGTCTGCTTCTTGGATTCAAAAGCCATTATTTGTATTCTCAGTATTATCTGTTCCTGTTAGCTTCACATTGATACAAGAACTACTTGAGAAAACCACTTACATAATAAAAATGTTCATTTTGGCTCTCAGTTTTAGCAGCTTCCATATTTAGTTGGCCCCCTGCTTTGCACAGTCTCAGCTCATCTTGGCAGGACTGTGAGATGGGAAAGCAACCCATTGCATGGCTTAGAAGTAAAGGAGACAGAAAGAGGAAAGACACAGTCCTATAGTCTCTTCCAAGGGCACACCCCAAAGTCCTAACTCCTTCCTACTCAACCCTACCTCTGACAGCCTAAGCTCTTAACAAATGGATATTTGGGGATATTCTAAGATACAGCAAGTCCTTACCTGCAAATTACTGAAACTATAATCTTTTTTACTAAAATAATAGTTAAATTTAAGAAATTAAATTAGCATTGGGCTTAATAGTGTAGTTTTAAAACAAATTTTGTTTCTGTTGATATCTCCCCTCTTTTGTCCTCCCCACCCCTGGGCCCCTACTCTCCTTTCTACTTTCTTGTCATTTTTGCTTTCTTTGTCTCTCCTTCCTTGGCCACTCTTTTTCACCGTCTATTTGTCCTTTCTAATTTCGTGATGTATACCCACATACACTCCACTTATATCTAAACATTGTAAGCTAGCCTCTTCATGGGAGACAGTCATGAGACTTTTGTCTTTGAGTCTAAATTACTTTGTTTGATTTAATACATTCTAGGTCCATTAATTATTTGTAAATTCTACAGTTTCATTTTTCTTTGCAGTTACATAAGATTTTGTTGTGTACATATGCTACATTTCCATTGTTATCTGTTGAGGGATATGTAGGCCAGTTGTATTTCACTGCTGTGTAAATAATATAATAAACACGGATGTGCAGGTATCTCTGAGGCAGGATATGTAACCCTTTGGACATGAGCTCAGGAGGTCATATATTACTCCTATTTTGATTTTTGAGCAAATTCTGTGCTGTCTTTCAGAATATTTGTAAAATTGCACTACCACCAGGAATGAGTATGCATTTCTCTTTCCCTATATCTTCTATAACATTTGTTGTCACAATTCTTGATGATAACCCTTCTGACTAGAGTGACAAAGAATTTCAATGCAGTTTTAGCTTTTATTTATGTGATAACTAAGGATGTTGAATGCTTTAAAGTTAATCTGGGCATTCACATTTATTCTTTTGAGAACTGCCTGTTATTTTCATTAGCCAATATTTTGACTGCAAATTTCTGTTTGTCTATTTTACTCTTAATTTTTTGCAGTCCTTTATATATTTGAGTCCCAAATTTTACAGAGTAAATATTGTAAAAATGGGAAAATTAAAAAAATAATCTATAGATCCAATGCAATCATCATCAAAATTTCGCTTACATTCTTCACATAACTGAAAGAAAACATTTTTTAAAATTCATTTGTAAACACAAAAACCATGACTAGTGCAAGGAGTCCTTAGTAGAAAGAATACTGTGGTTGTTTGAAAGATATTGGCTCCCAAAGAGAGTGTCACTTTTAGGAGATATGGTTTGTTGGAGTAGGTGTGGTCTTATTAGAAGAAGTATGTGTGAAGGTAGACTTACAGGGCTCATGTATGCTCAAGATACCACTCAGTGACTCAGTTTTACTTACTGTTTTCTTTGTCCAAGATGTAGAACTGTCAGATACCTCTCCACACCACGCCTGCCTGCATACCACCATGTTTCATGATGAAGATAATGGACTGAACCTCTGAACTGTGAGCCAACCCCAACTAAATGTTTTCCTTTTTTAGAGTTGCCATGATTACAGTATCTCCTCACAGCAATAGAAACTCTAAGACAAAAGTTTGTACCAGAGACAGGGGTATTTCTGGGAAAGGCCTGACAGTGCTTGTGTTTGCAGGAATTTGGACATTGGGGGTTTGAGTTAGGAAAACTGTGGGATGCTGTAGTCACTGTTTAATGGACCATACCAGTAGAAGCATGAAAGACAGTGATACTAAAGGTGATTTGAACTGTGTAGGCTCAAGAGATTTCTGAGGAGAAGGATTTTAGAAAGTTGCCTAGAAGTTGTTTTTGTGTTATTTTGGTGAAGAATGCAGCTGTTTTTTGCCCTTGTCCAAAAAGTTTGTCTGAGGCTAAAGTGAAGAGTTTGGGATTAATTCCCTTGGCAGGGGAAATCTCAAAACACCCCAGTATAGACTCTGTTGTCTAGTTACAAGTGTTAACTCTAATGAAAATATACAATGAAACAGAGCAAACTGAGCAAGGAAATTTGAGGAGAAAAATGACACCAAAAATGGAATGGAGCTATAAGTTCTGTGTTCAAAGAGATGAACAGATTACAAAATGGAATAAAGGGGCTGGCGAACTCAGGACATGATCCCACCCAGCTAAGTTTCTAACTTGTTAAAGGACTTAAAGAAAACGTTAGAACTGGATGTGGTGATGCACACCTTTAATCCCAGGACTGCAGAGGCAGAGGCTGACAGATGCCTGAGTTAGAGGCCATCCTGATCTACAGAGCAAGTTCATGTACAGACAAGCTTAGATAGCAAAGAAGCAATCAAAACAGAAATCTGATGAAGACTCATTGAATGTAGGGGCTATGATCCAGCCCCAGCAAACAAAAGGTCTTGGCAGTTTCAGTCATGTGGTCCTGGTTTTAGAGTTAAGGATACAAGAAATGGGGCTATGGAATTTGCTGCCACACCTAAGGAAAGTTACTGAGGCCAGGAAAGTGTCAGAGGAGTCCTTGAATGGAGGCCTAGAGTGGCTATTGGGTGAAGTTGTGAAGTTGCAGCCTGGATTACCTTGGATACTCTAAGATGTCAGACATGCCAGAGTCGTGAGATACCTGGTAAGGAGGCCTGTCTAGCAAAGGAAACTATCAGCAGAATGAACAGATAGTCCATGGAACTGGAGAAAACTGTCTCAGCTACATTTCAGACAGGTAATATCTCATTAAAATACATGAAGGTTATTCTACTCTTCATATGTTTTAATTATCAATTGTAAAATATATCATCCACAGAAAAAAAGCAGTCAGTCCTACCGACTAGACCAAGACCATTTTCATTCAGATCATCTCAATGTTTGTCCAAATGTAGAATTCTGAACTACGGTATACACACAGTACACACACACACACACACACACACACACACACACACACACACACACACACACACTTTAATATTTTAGGACAACTTGCAATAATGTATTAATTCAATGATTTCTTGGATATTAGCTATGTAGCTTTCAGATGAGATGGAGCTCTTCTCCTCTATGGTCAAATAACCTGTTTTAAACAGGATTTAATGAAAAAAGTAAAATATACAATATAGGGTGTATCTGTGTATAACGTAAGCCATGAAAGTATTGGATAAGACTTAATATTCTGGGCCTCCTTAAAGTCACAGGATACCAACATTACATGATCTACATAGTGGTGGGATAAAACTGTGAATGGTCCATGGGCTGGTCAGACTACAGGGTCGAGATTGTCAGTCCTGCTTATATTATTCCCTAGCCTGTACAAGCCACTTCATTCAAAATCTTGGTTTTCTCAGTGGCAAAATGCTAACTATGGTGTTCTCTACCTGATGATGGCAGAATTGAGACAGAAACGGATGTAATTGATGACAAAAAAGCCATTCTGAGGCCTCTTGTGATGTTCAGATAGGTTTTAGCTTATATGTCAAATTGAAGGACTAGAAGTTGCCAGTTATCCCACTTTGGTGAATATTTAAGTCTTTGTGGGCAAAGATGATTGGTGGATGCTAAATGTATAACCCAGTTTGCATTCTCTGATCAATGCCCTCTGTTCTTTCTTTACACTTAAGACCTCCCCAAAGACCTGTCCCATGGAGACAAGGTTAAATCTCAATGGATGAAAGTAATCCAACTGATAGTTTTCTCTTTGTATTTTCTTAGCATGAGTACTACAAATGTAAAGAGAGATATGCCACCATCTAAAACTAAGATGATCACGTGGAAATTAACATGTAGTAACAATAGTTTTACGTTGATTAAACATCTTTCAGGTGCATTCGTTAAAGGATAACTATCTTACCCTTCAATGCATAGACATTTTTGTAAGCTTAGCACTTGTTTCATGAATGAAAGAAGAGGAGGGAAGAGAGTAACAACAACATGGGCCCCACAGCTGCTCTCAGCCACTCATCAGCTGAGATCTTCAGACATTTTCCAACTTGAGGTCTCAAAAAAGAGTGAGTGTGTCCAGTCTGAACAGATTCTCTCTGGTCTGAGTAAAGAGAAAACACATGATCACCACCAGATAAACTTTATTGGAGGAAAGTTGGTGCCCCAAATGACACCTTTCAGCAGCTGGTATGTCCTTTCCCTACCCAGGCCACCTGGCTCACTTCCTGGGGAGCAGTTCCCACTCAGTCTTGCCACTGTCTTATGGAAGTTACTTAGAGCATGCATGCAATGAAACAGAGTAAGTTGAGCAAGGAAAAATAATTGAGAAAAACACCAAAAATGGAATTGAGCTAAAAGTTATGTGTCCAGAGATAAACAGATTACAAAATGGAATAAAGGGAGTGGTGAGCTCAGGGCACTATCTCACCCAGCTAAGTTTCTAACTTTTCAAAGGACTTACTTGGATGTGGTTGGTGATATACACCTTTAATCCCAGGACTCCAGAGGCAGAGGCTGGCAGATCCCTGAGTTAGAGTCCATCCTGATCTACAGAGAAAATTCCTGGACAGATTCAGAGCATGCATTGGTCTGCTGAGAGGTCAGGTTGTTAGCTTGCTGGCAATGAGATTTAGCTCAGCATTGCCACCAGCAGCCAGAGCTCCTTCTGCACAGGGACCTCACCCAGATAAAGCTAGAGCCTTGACAGTGCCTCAGATAAGAACTTCAGGGTGTGTTAGAATGAAGCAAGTTAGTGAGATGAAAAAGTATTTAGACAGAGATACAATTAAAGGCTGGTAACTAAGTCAAGACACTGGATGCAGGGTTGCTGAAAGACACACATACTTTGGTGACTTTATAATGGCTATGTATATGATCTTGTGGTATCCTAAATTGCATTGCTCAAAAATGTATTTACAACAAAATTTAAACATTAGGTCACATTTCAAATATAAGTTATTGTTACAAATTTCGTTTTCTTTTTTTTTTTTAATTTCACAGGGTTTCTCTGTGTAATCACCTTAGCTGTCCTGGAACTAGCTCTGTAGATCAGGCTGGCCTAGAACTCACAGAGATCTGCTTGCACCTTCCTGAGAGCTTCGATTAAAGGCATATGCCACAAGAGTTGTCTATCCTGGGCTCAAAAGTAGCTCACAGAGACTGAACTGACAACCAGGGAACCTGCATGGGACTGACCTAAGTCCTTTGCATGTGCGTTCTAGTTGTGTATCTTGGTTCTCTTGTGGAACTCCTAACAGTGGGAATAGGGGGTGTCTCCAACTATTTTATAGGCTGTTGGGACTTTATTCTTCATGCTGGGTTGACTTCCTCAACCTTAATACAAGGGAAGGTACTTAGTCTTACTGCAACTTCATATGCTGTGTTTTGTTGATACTCATGAAAGACCTGTTCTTTCCTAAACAGAACAGGAGAAGGAGTAGATTGGGGGTGGGAACAGAGCAGGGATAGAGTGACTAGGGCGAGAGGAGGGAGGGGAGAATACATTCAGGATGTTAAATAAATGAATAAGTACGTTAAATTTAATTGTCAAGTTAAGTAAAATTATACAATCTAATTTACCCATTTTTCTTATCTTAAAGAATTTCCATCTGTAAATGAGATTGTAAAGTATTCATGGGATGCGTTGTTTAGATTTTATTTGTTGTTTCTGACATCCTTGTTTGAGATGGCTTTAGAAAAACATAAATTAACTCTCTAGGCCAGCAGTTCTCAACCTGTGGGTCATGACCCCTTTGGGGTTCACATATCAGACATCCTGTATATCGGATATTTACATTATGTTGCATAGTGATAGAAAAATTAGTTACTAAATATCAACAAGATAATTTTATGGTTGGGAGTTGTTCACCACAATACGTGGAACTGTATTATAGGGTTGCAGCATATTGAAGGTTGAGAACCACTGCTGTAGGTGGTTTGCCTCTATTAGTTGTATTGAACTTTCTTGACTCTAGTTTACATTTAAGGCAAACTAGATCCTAGCATGAGGGACTCCTTTCCTTGTCATTTTTCTTAATTTTCTCTGTCTTTCTTTCCCACTTCAAAAAGAGTCCACATGTGGACTTCTGGATAGATGATAAAGCTCAGAGAAGAGCACAGTAACTGTATCTCTAGGCATTAGGCAGACCAGAAGATAGACAGGGAGATCTTAGATTGTCCCATGACAGAATCAAACTTCTGTATGGTTTTGTTTATAATTTAAGAGATTTAAATAAGTAGCTAATAGGTTACGGTAGGAAAAGACTAAAATCCATATCTTTCAAACTTCAAATTCTCAGTCGAATTTTCAGACAAAATGACTTCAGTTAAAACTCAGCCTTGAGTGCAGGCACCCATTTCTAGGAAAATAGTTCTCAAATTACACTGTAATCATGGAAAACAATACATCAAAATATTCAGTAGAGATTGCCCAGGATTCCCAGGCACCTGGAGACCCTATGTTCTGGCTGATTGATCTATGACACAACCTTGTCTCTGTGCTTTCTTTCACCCCTGTAAAAGCAGCATGAATTTTTCTCCTTAAGTCTTTTCTAAATCTGGGTCCCCAGAAAGAAAATCAAGGGAAATGAAATTTCTTTATACTTCAACTGATGATAACAGGCAATAATAGACTTGTCTACAGCATTTAATAACAATAATACTAACAGTAAAACACCTTATAAATTTTGACTACATTTCTTTGTCCTTATGAGTCCAGTTTTTAAAGTTTTAAAATTTTCAATTGTTCTGAGATGTGGACTATGTCACCTCCATCTTGACTCCTATTCCTTGCCAATAAAATTAGTTTTTTTTGTCTCTGAAAAGAATCTGACTCTCAAGGTTTTGCTAAATGAGATAAATTTAGAGTACAATAGACAAATAATCATCCCTTATTTATTCTTTGTAGCATTTCATAGGCATTATAACATTAAAAGCAGTTAAACTCTATTGTACAATATTAAACATAGCTTCCTATGATACCAATACCTAGATTGCAATACAACCAAATGCTGTGTGTGTGCAAGCCAATATAGCAGCCACTAACCATCTGTGAGTGTTTCAAATGTAGCTAGGGCAATCAAGCAACTGACTTTTTAATTTGATTTGATTTTAATTAACTTAAATTTAATTAGCCATATGTGGCTAATGGCTACCATATTGGATTATTCAGAAACAAGATTTAAAAAAAATAAAAGTCATTTATTTTCAGATTTCAAAATACTTGACAAACAGTTTAGAAATAGATGTATGGTTTTCTCAGTTGTTCATATGTATGGCTTTGGGTCTGAAGCACCGTTTAGTCTGTCATGCTTCCATGGCAATGACATCTACTACCCTATAATGTATTAATGTGGCATTTTTACAGGTTCATCATACTCATTGCTTAAAATTTCCAAACAGGCATCTATGTCACCATTTTCTGTAAAATTAGACTGAGATTTTCAGAACCAGTCAGTAAAAAACAGTGATTTGAATCCAGTTCAGAAAGTGTCAGTCTTTTCCCTTCACCTCCTCCCTGGTTAATTCTCCTCATGGGGTTGAATTTTGTGAATGGTGACACTACTGTGATGCACATGCATTTTTAATGTGTGCATATTGAGGGGAAAATGGACAGAGAGGTGTTACAAATTGTTTTGTGGAGACAATATAATTCATTATTAAGTTACAGAAAATATTACTTAGAAACAAAAATAACTATGTAAAATCCAGGCAGCCAGTATGCTTCCCTGTAGGTCTGGAAGGATATACATTATGTTTGGGACAGCAGGCCAAGCTACCTGCTAAGCTCCCAGTACCCCTAGCTCTCTAGCTTTGTCTACAGGTAAGATCTTCCTGATGTCTTGATATGGTGAGTGTTCATTACTAAGGGCAAGGACTAAATGAATAAATGAATATATTTTTATAATCTACTTAATAACTTTTAAAATTAATTTTACATTTTATATTTTCACATCATATATTTTAAGTACATTTGATTTTCAATTTATAACAACTCTATAGAGTATGTAGGAAATATTTAATAATTTTCATAAAATTATTAAAGCTGAAGGTCATAGAGTTTCAGTGGCTCACCTGTGGCCACATGGCCAGGGAATCTGAGTGGCACTTGAAACTTGATTATCTTACAATATCTACACTGCAGTAGTAAAGCACAATAGAATTCAGGGTTCAAACACAAAATTTGTATTGAGCTTAAATTTTTTAAATGCACTAAGAAGAATAAGTTTTACTTCCATATTACTTGTAAGGATATTGAGCCTTAGAGACATTGAGTATAGCAAGTTTGCAGAACTAGCAGAAAGCTAAGAACGTATTTGAGAAGCAGACGCAGAAACTGGTCTCTAAGAGGGAGCCCAGTTTTCTTTCTAGCTCAGTGCTCACCATAGAAGGAACAAATGTTGACTCTTACAAAGGTGGGATTGTTAGTGCTTGCTGCTGAGGAGGATCTTCCTGAGAGAGAAGCTTTGGCTCTTATTTAAATAAACAGAATAGTGTGGTCCAATAGCTGGGAAAGGCATGCTGGGTGATGTGGCTGCCATAAACTGGGAGGTAACTTTGTGGTGATGGCAGCACACCTGTGGCATGTAAATGGCACCTGTTGACAGCTCTCTTCCTCTTTATAATCAACAACAATGTTCTCCAGAAACCATGCATTAGCTGTGCAAACAAAGATAAATTTGATGTATTGTGGTTCTAATCATAGACTCTGAGAATGTTCTTTAGAAAACATTTTATCAGGCAATTTCCATAAAATAATCTGCACATCTAAACTGTGCCACTGAGAGGTGATGGTGTGAGGAATACAAGGTGGTAAAGACAGAGCGAGACTGTATTTGAATGTATGCAAATTCTCTATAGAGTTCTTACAGATTGTGTAAACACATTTACTCCAAGAACAAAGGGCAAGACAAACAGACAAGTGCACTTCAGCTACACTTAGATATAGACTCATGGTAAAATAACAAGAACTCAGAATCCATCACCATTCTTAATATAAAACTTCACTGCTTGTTACACTTGACAAAGGCAGAGAAACATGATGCAGTGAATGGCCCAAGGAAAGAAGGAAGGAAAAAGAAAAGGATAAAGAAAGCTGATGTGCTAGAAGAAAGCATTAAAACTCCAGAACATTCCCGTTAACCAGAGAGGTATAGTTTAAAAATAATTGATTCAATTAAAGCTACAAAGTTTAATTACTATAAAATTCAGAATCTCGAGATAAATTTAAAATAAGTGCGACCCCTGGAGGGGACCCCCGACCCGTGGGGATGAGGTGATGAGGGTCGCTACTAATTTGGTGGGTCTTCACGAGCAGATCCGATCTTAATAGGCAAACTTCAAGAGGTTAAGGGAAACAGGCTCAAGACAACTTTTGCTGATCAAGAGTGTTTATTCTTGGGGTAAGATAGTTTTTATAGGAAGAGAATCTCAGGGAGGCAGTACAAGCATGCCAATCAAGTCTCAACTCAAATATACACCAAATAAGGTAAAGACGAAGCTGTAATTTTCCATCAGTTGCATTCCGCAAATGCTTGTCAGCGTAAGCCAGGTGCAGGAATTAGGGAGGGGTAAAAAGTATTCAGAGGAACACATTAACCTTTTGTTAACAAAGACAATTGCTCTATAAGGGTTACTTCAGCCTATCATTATGGTAAAAGCATCCAAAGGAACACATTAACCCTTTGCCAACAAAGGCAATTGTTCTATAAGGGTTACTTCCCCTGGCTAGGCGGGTGGGCTGCCCTGTGTAAATTTAACTTTTGTGGTTAACTTTTTCCTTTGTCTCAAGGGCATGTGTGCCCGCAGTCACATAGGCAGAAGGCCAAGAAATGGCTGACAGACTCCATTTTGTTCAAGGTTCTAGCAGTCCCCAACAAATAAGATGTCATATAACTTACAGAGAGATCATCTAAATCTAAGGAAAGATAGCAAAATGAATTCAAGAGCTACTTCACACTAGCCAGATAATAGAGTGATGAGTTTCCCACAAACTAATCTAAAATGTGATTAAATAAAGTCCATCATGAGTTCTACTAGGAAGTTGATAACCAAGTGGCAATGTTTACACAGATGAACAAAGGTCCAAAGAACTATCAGAGCATTTCTGAAAGAGGGCAAGGTAAAAACTCACCCTGTTAGCTGCTAAAATGTATTATGAGTCCACAGCAATTAAAGTAATAAAGAACCTTCAATGTATATATGAGCTGACATACCTTCTCTAGAAACCTGATGCAGGGTGTCCTGCTTTGCACAGCAGTGTGAGGCCACAAAAGACCTGCAATGGGAGCCAGTAGGAAAGAGGCACTGTTAGATGATCTTTCAACATTTTGGTCATCAAATACCTCTCATTTTGAGATAAGGATATTCATGAAAATGAAGTAAATTGTCAAGATGATGTTTAATATATACTAATTTAAAATAATATTATAAAATATTTGTGTGTTAAAAACAACTAAAATAATTTGAATACTGTATGCCATCTTCCTTTTGCTAATCGCAGTGCAGAGTTCTCCTTTTTGTGCCTTAGCAAACCTCTAACCTCCTGTGTGAGCTTGCAACAAGTGCCCCCATCTCATCATTGCTGTTTCCAATGTCATAAATTGTAGAAGCATTTCTTTAGCGTCTTTATCAACACTTCCATACTGCTGTCAGAATAGTTTCCTCACTTATGGTATTCATTCGGCGCCTTTACTGGGTTCCCCTGGCTGCCTAATTGGCAATGTCAACATTCCCAAGGCCAATACATCACATTTGAACTTCACATCAGCATTATCATTTCTTCCTTCTTTGATTCAAACTCGCCTTTAACTCTTTTGTGTTTTAAACTGCTCCAATGGGTTCATCACTGGTGAACAAGTAAGCAACCAATTGCATGCCTTTTTGTCTGGGCCTGAACTTAAAAACACATGCACACTGGTCATTTACTACCAGATAGACTCCAACAGAAGAGATGTGCTTCGTCAGTGATCAGGGTGGACACCTGTTAGTCAAGTAATGATTTGTGGATCAAGAAATTGGCTGTTGAGGTTGTATTTGGCACATTTTCATTAAGGTATTTAAAGTGAACAAAGTCCACTGGATTTGAACCACAAGGTTGGGTGACTGATCTGTTAAGAAAATCAACAAAAAAATGTAACTGAACCCTGTGCATGCAGAAACCACACAAAGCAAAGACTAGTGGTCTATAATAAAGGGGACTTTGTAGAACCCTTGGGTAAAAATGTTGTAGTTATGGTACTAGTACAGTATGGAAAAAAATGAAAGTGGCTCCTATCATCATGTTCTACATAAATGTCAATTACAGATGAAGCAATATACACATGTACATATAAGCACATATGTATATGTGAGTGATTCTCTCCCTCTTCCTGTCTTGGCTTCTTACTCTTCTCTTCTTTTATATTCACTCTTTCTCTGCATTTCCCTCTCCCACTCCCTCCTCTTTTTGTCATTCCCTCTATTTTTTCTCTCCTACTCCCTCTTCATTGTCTCTCTGCCCTTCTCTATTCCCCTCCCTCTCCCCCTCATTCCTCCCTCCCTCTCCTCTCCCTCTCTCCCTCCCTCCCTCATTCCTTCCTTCCCTTCCTTTCTCCTCACTGGAATACAGAAGCCTTTTTGTAAAATAAGACAAAATGTCTGCTGACCCATTTAAAAAATAGCATATTGTTAAATTCAACTGTATTAAAATATTAAAATCATGTATTTCCATCATGAAGATGACACAGCAGCTTTAAGGACCCATTAAAGAAAAACTTCTGGCCAAGAGAATGAAATCTCTGACCTAAGTGGAGACCTAATTTTCTAGTTGGACAGAGTTAAGAAGCTGGTAAGGGACAACTTCTAGGAAAGTAGGTTCACCTTGAGCCGTGAAAAAGAGGTGTAAAGGAATAACTATTCCTCTAGCGCGATAATGTACTTTCCCTTCCCAGAATTCCTGCTTCCTTGAGCGGCAAGCATGCAGCTTCATCAGCCTGTCTGATTATTTTAATTATTCAGAAAAGCATAACTTCTCCTATATTTCTCTCCTTCTCTGTTCCCAGTGTGCTCACCCCAGCACTATGAACTAACCTAATGCTTTGGCTTTTTTTTTTACTTCATCTTTAAAGCCCTCATCACTGTGTGACTGCCTGCTGCCAGGTGGTTGACCCCTATGACATCTTAACTCAAACAGTAATGGTTGGATAGGCATCTTCCTTTTCTTCTCCACACCTCTCCTCTGGAAAGTCTCCAATACTTCCATCTCACCTGGCCTGAGGTTTCCTTTTAAACTCTAACAAAACTGTTATTGAGCCTCCAATTGAGTCCATTCTTAAATTCTTGTAATAATGACACTACAAACTCCAAACGGGGACAGTATATCTTCATTATCATCAAGTGGCAAGCTAGGTGGGACCCCCCCAAAATGTTTGGCATAAAAGATTTCACACTGAAAAAGTGGTGTGAAATACTACTGGATGCCCCTTCTTCTTTGGCATCTCTTGGTGTCTGGAAGGGGTGCATGAACTGTGTGAGTAAATTCCCGTTGATGAATGAACCGTGTCCAGAAGCTGTGAGCACAGTGGCCATATCATCTGCTGAACAGTCTTTCTATGTTTCTCTTCTTCTCTGTGTGCTGTGACCAGCTCTGACCACACAGAGATACACAACACTATGGCAAAATACCAGCATGATTAAAGACACCAAGCCCCTAGGGCAAGGTGAATAGTATTAACAACCCGATAATAAAGAATCACCAGGCCATAACATCATTAATGTTAGTGGTGAGAAATCTTACTTCAGTGTAAAATCAACTTTTTCTAAGTTTCACTTCATCTATTCCCATCAGTCTGAGAAGCTCAACACAACCCTCAAGTATTCAAAGTCTAGCATGTATTCCACCTACCAACCACATTTCATCTTCGCCTTTGGAGATCCTCCTATTTTAGGACTCAGTTGCTTCTCTGCCATGTGGCATAATTTCATTCTTCAGATAGCAAACAAAATACTTATCACAATTTATTAACTTAATAAAAATTTTCATCTGCTGTCTATCTGCTGCCACTTGACCCACCCTGGATGTGAGAGCCGAGAAAGCCTGTATCTTGCCCACCATTGCAAGCCCAGCCTCTGCCAAAATGCCCAGCCTAGAGCAGCCCCCAGTGAAGAACTCTTAAGCTGTAAACAAGTTCATGCAAATCAGACTTCCTATGTGCCACGTTAAAACCATAGAACAGAACGCATTCATTCCTTGTTACTAGCTACTTGCTAGATCACAGTATCTGTGACTGGACCCAGGTGTCTGTTTTATTCAACTTTGCAACTCAAAAACTTCTTGATATTCTGAAATTTTATAATTTTTTGCAACATGATGCTTCCTGTCTATCCTCTGAGATTAGTTATCCACAGACAAACTGCACTGATACTAATAATGGCATGCTACCCTTCTTAACATGGAAATGAACTGAGGCCCGATGGCACTTGCTTGTAATTCCAGCTACTCAGAAGACCGAAGCTGTAGGATTATAAATTCAAAGTCAGCCTGAACTACATAAGCAAATTCCATCTCAAGTGACTAAAAAGGAAAAGAGAAAAGAAACTGAACAAAAAAAAAATCCTTGAGAGAATTTTACCGTAACATCTCCATGTCTGCAACAAGTTCCTGTAACAAATTCTTCCTCGGAAGACAAATCAGTTTTCTTAAGAGCTTTCTCCACAGACAGCCCTTCCTGTATGAGTAATTTCATATGGCAAAAATTCAGAATCACACTGCTCTCTTTATTTTCTTTATTTTATAGAAACAGCTATGGTTAAAATATGTTCTCATACACATTCCAGACCTCTGGGTTTTCCAGCTGAGTTCTTTCACCCATAGTTTCTGCCCAGCTGCTCTTAGTGCCCTGTCTTCACTCCAGCCTTGCAAGGGTGGGCTAGACTTTCTATATCACCTGACTGACGCTTCTATACCAAAGCAAGGCCCCGAATCATTTCTAAAAGCACCTATATACATGTATACCTTTCCATACACAAGCAATTTGCACTTGTGACTCAAATTACAGAGTCATAAACAATGGAGGAATGGAGGAAGCAGTGTGGTCGGGATCTCAACATTTGCAAAGTGGGGTGCTTGCTGGGAATTACTTTGGGATACAGGCAGAAGATTAAAAACAAATGTATTACCCTCTTGTGTTTTAAAAGAGAAAGGGTTGTTTTCACACATAGGAATAAATGTAGCATGGCAAAGAGGAGGATCTCTAAGATCCTGTGCTGAAGAGACCACAGACTTGAGTTATCAAACATCAAACTGGCACTTATTTGTTTAGTGATGTATTACTTATGATTTATTAAAGCTCGCCTGAGGATTCAGAGCATAAAGTCAGCCACAAGTCATAGAATCCAGGCTTTAATCTCAGTGGCCAGAAGCTAGGATGTGGTGCTATACAACTTTAATCCTAGGATTCAGGGTTAAGAGGTAGACAGATCTCTATGAGTCCAAGGCCACCCAGATCTACACAAGACTGGTTCAGTCCTAAAGGGAATCAGCTCACACAAAGATGATCTCAGCACCAGGGATCACATGCCTTTAATCCCAGCACTAGAGTAGTGGACCATAAAGGATACCAGTAGGGTCTTCAGTAGTCAATATCAGGCATTGATTCTCCAGCCCCATTTAAAACAGGAAATACCCAACGCTTTTAGAGGTAACAGCTCTCTGGTAGCTTGGTTCCTTTCTGAATCCTCAGGCAAGTTTTAATAAATCATAAATAATATATCACTATGTATTGCAATCTTAATCTATGATAGCTAGCTGTCATAGTGCTGGAAGGTGTTACCATATGAAGAAAGCAATCATCAGTCCTACCCAGATATAACAATTGACGTGACAAGATATGCCCATTGGTACAATAGTGGCATGATTGTTATGGAAGTAACCAAAACTTTCTGACTACATCTAAAGAAAGTTCCATAAGATGAAACTCATACTTGGTACTGTCAAAGAAGGCAAGAATCTATAGCTAGATAGGTCATAGGCAATGGAGGAGATCCTATTACTGTCATTCTGCTAAGTAGACTTAGAATTAAAATGACTATCAGTGACTTATTCTATACCCATAGATCAGTGCATCTCTCAAGTAATTGTGATAGGAATTGGGGAAGCATCAGCAATTGATAGATGCTGTGAAAAGTAGAGTAATTTTCATTTAATTTCAAGACCTCTGGTAAGGTGATTACACTCTGGAGCAGGCCCCACACTAAAGAGCAATTGAGCAATACAAGCTGGATTCAATTGTGTTTGGTTTTTTGTTTGTTTGTTTGTTTGTTTGTATAAGAGAATTCAAAGTTATATTGGTAGGGAAATGTGAGTTGATCTGGTAGGTTGGGGTGGGGAGGGTGTTGCATACGGCCAAAATATATTAGTCTCTCAAAGAATTTCTTATATCTTATCTTTAAAGTAGGGGCTGAGCTTATTATGGAAGAACTTGTTACTCTTTCAAAGGACTCAGGTTTGGTTCTCAGCACCCATGTGGTGACTCAACTATTTTTCTGTAACTTCACTTCAAAGACATCCTATGCCCTCTTCTGACTTGCATGGCACCAAGAATACATATTGAGGATACACATACAAATAAGATACTTATATACATAAGATATTTTTAATTAAAAGCAAAATAAAAGTCTTCAATAATGAAAATCCCAGGAATTCTACCACCTGCTTTATTTCCATCCATGTCCAAACTTCAGAAAAATAGTAGAAAAATGCATTGTGGATCTACCATGATAGCTTTTGCAGGTACACCATTCTATGGTGACAGTATAGAATGGCATCATTTTATAATGATACAGCTGCAATAAGACCCTCTGTAGTGACATCATTCTGTACTAACATCCTTTTGTAAAGAAATGATTTTATAGTGGCATCTCTCTATAGGGACCACCTACATTGACACTTCCCTATTGTGACACCCTCTGTGGTGACATGATATAGTGGTATTCCTCTATAATGATGCATACTGTTGTAACACTTTTTACAGAGAAATGACTTTTTAACAGTATTGCTCTATAACAGTGATAACAGTGCCATTTCTAGTAATATCTCCATGTAGTGACATACCACAGTAAGGACACCCTATTATAGTAACACTGTATTATAGTGTTACCCTTCCTAAATTTGTAGCCCTAAATAGTGACAGCCTTCTATAGTTAAATGCCTTTACAGTGTCACTCATTTAATGTCACACCCCTCCATAGCAACACTCACTATAATCACTCTCTTGTAAAGTGACATTCCTCTACCATGTCACTCTCTAAAGTTACACCTTTTCCCAGTTATGCTACACTATAGTGATATCCCTTTACAGTGACACATTCTAGAGCAAATTCCCTCCTTAGTTATACCTATATATAGTGACATCCCTCTATTGCGATGTCCATCTAATGACAGCACTTTAAACTGACAGCACTCTACAGTGATATACTATTCTACTGTTATCCACCTTAAGTAATACCTATATAAAGTGATCGTACTTATAGGGAAATCCCTTATTAGTGACACCCTTCTAAATTGACACACCTCTATAGAAAAACTCCTCTATTGTTGCATCACTTTACAGGACACCCCTCATTATAATACACTTCTACAGTGTCAGTTCTTTGTAATGATATTCCTCTACAATGACATTACTCCATAGTGAACTCCTCTACTTTGATATTCTTCTACAGTGACAGCCCTTACAATAACAGCTTTATACAGAGTTAGCCCTCTACAGCGACTGCTATCTCTACTGTCACTTTCTAGTGACATCTATATGCAGAAACAATAGCTAAACATCTGTATTGACACTTCTCTTTGCTAACACACCACCAGACTCATATCACTCTACATTGTCATCACTCTATAGTGACAATTCTCTGTTATTACCCCCTTTCTAGATACATATCTGTGTACTGACATATCTGATGGCACTAAGCAATGTTTACAAAAATATCGCTCTATGCTGACACATCTTTGTCACATTCTCTACAGTGTCCTGATATAAAGTGACATTTCTCTACAATGAGGCTGATAGTAACTTTGTTCTATATTTATATTCTTCTATATTGACAATCCTGTGTACTGACACCTTCTTCAGTGACATACCATCATGTTGATCATTCTATAGTGACACTTCTCTATACTGAAATATCTCTCTACTAACATCTTTGTGTAGTACATCCCTGAGACAGAGTTTCTGTTCCACCCAGACCCGCAGCTGTTTAGTCAGTCCCAAATAAACACACAGAGGCTTATATTAATTATAAACTGTCTGGCTGATGTCTCATGATTCTTATTACTTAGTTCTCTCTTATTAACCTATTTCTATTAAACTCTGTATTGCCATGAGGCTGTATCTTACCTAATGCGCTGGCATGTTTACTCCTTTGGCAGTTACATGGTGTCTCCCTCTCTCCATTGCTTCCCTGCCTTTCCTCTTCCCAACATCCCCACACACTGAAATTCTTCAATAGTGATACTTCACTATATTGACATCTACCAAAAGTTTTGTCTCTCTTTAAAGTGAGATCCTCAACGGTGACTCCCACATATAGCAACATCCTCTGCAATGGCACACATCTTTAGTGGTATATCTGGATAGTGACATCTTTATATACTGGAATCACTCTGTAATGCCACTTGCTATTATGACACTCTCTTTAGTTACACCCTGTAACAGTCAATGTTCCTTATTCTATAATGCTTCTAGAGTGATATCCTCAAGGAATGACACCTATCTATAGGATACCTTTCTATAGTGATGCCCCACTTCAGTAATTTTCCTCTGTATTAACAGCATTCTTTCTTGTTGACACCTTCTACAAAGACATCTATATACAGTGATAACAGAATATAATGACATTCCCCTACAATGACATGCTTGATCACTGATATCTCTCTATAGTGACAATCTCTAAATGTTTAACCCTTTATAGTGCCACCTTTCTACAGTGACTGCTCTCTATAGTAATATCACTCACTAGTGGCACCTTCTACAAAGACACCCAACTATGTGAAACCTACTCATAGTGACATTCCTCTACAGAGATATCTTCCTTTAGTAACACTCATTATAATGACAACATTCTGTAGGTACATTTTTTCTATTGTGACACCTCTCCTTAGGACGTCCCTTCACAGGTATTTCCATCTATAGTGTACACTTCCAGAGTGACATCCATTTTTAGTAACATCCCTCTATAGTTACATTATTGTACAGGTACTCCCTTCTACAGTGACACCCTTCCACAGATACATTCTTCTGTAGTAATGTCTGTCTCTATTGATATTATTATGTAGTGACATCACTTTATAATGACATCTCACTTTAGTGACATTCATCTACAGTGACATCATTCTACAGTGGCATCCTACTATAGAGGTATTCCTCTACAAGTATAACTTTCTATAGTGACACTCCACTTTAGTGATATCATTCTAAAGTGACACCCCTTTCTAGTGACATATTTCTGCAGGTACATCCCTCTACAGTGATGTCATTCACTACTGACATCAATGTCTATTCATGCCCTTGTATAACACCTCTCTGCAGTGATACCCTCTGTAGCAACAGGCCTCTATGTACAATGGCACCACAAGTAAAATACCCCATATTACCACATCCTTCCTCAGTAAATTTCTCATTCTTACCTTGCTCTAATAATTTTCCCTATGTGAGCCTGAACTCTTGTATCA